TTCACTAGTAAAATTTTTATTAAAAAATTTTATTTAACAATTGTTTTTGCAAAACTTTGTTATATGTTTTTATTAAAATCGTATATACAAAGTCAGAATGAAAAAAATGAAACAGATTTAATTTTCTAGTTGTTAATTTATCTTTCCTGAAACCTGACTTCCTTTTTAATATTCATTCCCATTCATAATCTTTATCAGTGCATCCAAATTTTTATATTCTTAACTGTTCATGTCAAGCATATAAGATTAATGGTCTTCCGTGTTCTTTTCCATTAAAAAGAGACTATAAATGTTAACGCGCATGTTAACTGTAATAATAAGAATATTTTTTATTATTTTTGATAAAAAACTTTTACATTTATATAAATAGCCATATTGCAATACCGCCATGTTTAAATTTTAACGAAAACAAAAAAATATGTGAGAAAAAAGAGTAATTAAACATTAGAAGCTTTACCTCGCGTTGTAATGGTGCACAGGTTTGCGATAAAGTTCAAAAGCACTTCCTCTTTGTTCCCTGCTTCCAGCGAGGTCTAATCCACTCGGTTCTCGATTATGTCCTGGACTTGTTGGAAAACTTTGGCCAGGTGCGTTGTGCCCATTGTTTACAACATATCCGTTGTGATTCACATTATTTCTATTGTGCGAGAGACCGAGGCTCAATTGACTGGCACTATTACTGTGACTATGAGTTGACATTGGCGGGCTACAATGCGCATGCGTGTGACTCAAACTATGATTGTGCGCAGGCGTAGAAAGGTGACTCAGGTTGTGGTGGGAATTTCCGAGGTTTGAATCATGACGATTTGGGGGTGGAATGTTGTAATAATATTGTCCACTGTTCCGTTGCACATTGTTGGTGCTTTCTACCTAAAAACAAAAAAATAAAAGATTTATTGCTGAAACTTTGTTTTATTATAGTATCTAAAAATAATATATAAAAAAAAGTTACTCACATGAGAAGTAGCAATAGAATAGCTCTTCGAGTGTTGATGAGTATTATTTCCCTCGTTTCCATTATTTTCTGATTGGGTCAAGTTTGTTTGTGGTGGCCTGTAGTTTTTTGGTTTTGGTGGAGGTATTGGTTTATATGATCCTCCAGGTTTATTTTGCGGTAGTGTTATTGACTTGTAATCAGTTGTGCGGCTAGAATATACAAAGCAAAATATGCTAGCTTACAGGAACGTATTAGGCGCTGGATAAATAATAATGAAAAACAGAATTTATAGAAACAGTGGGTTTGGAATGCGGAATATGTATATCATTTATAAAATATACATTAGTAATTTGATATAATATAAATTAATAGCAGAATAGTACAGAAAAATATTAGGATACTTAAATTGCAAAATAAAATTTGTAAAAAAATAACTGCAATAAACTTGTTTTACATAGAAAAAATAACGAATAAAATTATATAGACGTGCGCTATAAAATATAAAAAACAGTTGCAACAGAACTACAAATTCAAACTAATGTATCTCGACTAGAAATATAAATTCTACAAGCTCTCCTCAGTGGTCGAGGTTTTCGCGCCATCACTCTAGAAGAGAAAAAGAATAGAGGAAAAATCAAGAAATCCAAATGTTTTCACTATATTTATGTTAATCTAAAATTCTGTTTGTTCTGTATAATAGTAAATTATAAATTAGTTAAATCTTCATTCTCCCTGCTGCAGATGTATACCTGTATTTGGCGTAATCGGTTCGTGGTTGTGAATCATGACTTGGAATCGGTTGTGCTGTCGATCTGGTAAATCTGTAAGGATCGTGTGGTCTTGTTGGTCCACCACTGCTCTTCAAGTCATCAGGAACGTTGGGACCCAAACGACCAGTTGATGTACTCAAACCTGGTGCTCCGTAACTAGCATTTCCATTGGTATTATTATAGGAATCGTATGAAGACATACTATCGTAACTCCCCTATGCACATACATTTAAAAATGCATAAAAATCAGTGTAAAAATGTTGATTATCATTAGAAAGCAATCTTTACCGCTTTTGGTTGAGCTCTTTCGAGAGATGATGTCGCATTAGCTTTATGAGGTGTTGCATTTATGTAATTTGCGACATCTAGTACTGAATCTGTTTTATTGAGTAACCGTTCTTGGGCAGACCTTCCAATTGTATTTCTTTGCGGTTGATTGCTTGGTTTTGCGTTGCGATCCACTCTCGGAGGTAAATCAGGTGGACTGTGATGAGAAGATCGTGGTTCAAATGAACCACCCAAGTATTCTGGCGAACCTGATTGATTGCTAACTTGTCCTGACAATGAGAATCCGTATTTTCCATCTCCCATTCCACCTTGTGATCTCCTTTTTGGTTGCTCAAAGGATTGCTAGAAAAGTAATTTATATTTTACAACTAATTTAGGATGTTTGAATGCTAACAAAATTATGAGTTTAGAAGCTATAATTATTGGAATTTTTCAACTTCATTGAGGCAATTAAACTGAATTTGTTTACCTGATAAGTAGTCGAATACGGTGGTGGTGCAGCTATGTCGTCTTGTGTTGCGATGCTTGGATCAGAACTGCTTTTCAATCTAGATGGTGCACCCAAAGCACCTGGTAAAGCTGGTGCCGGACTGAGTTCCAAGTCACTCTCCGGAGAGGAAGCATAGGAGAGGCGAGAAGTCATCGGGAATAGGAAGTCATCCGAGAGTGCTTCTTCTGGCTATCATCGCAGGACACAGAGGACAACACGTTACAGAGGTTTATGTTCTATTCAACCCTTTCAGACATTCTTTTTTCATTTATAATAATAGATTGGAGAAAAATAAAATATAATCGTTAATTATATGTGATATGAATGTTAATCATATCTTATTTCTTCATAAGAAATTTAATAATTTAATAGAAAATTATTATTTATTTATATGTGAATCAAATTATTGAGAATGTTCATTTAATTGAAGCAGTAATTGAATTAGTGTTTGAAAGGGTTAAAATTGAAATGAAAAACAAATACTTGCCATTCAGTTAAGCTTAATTCTGAAATTCAGTTAAGGTATTTTGAAGATTATAGGACAGATTAAAACTAAATTGATTTATGCCATAAAATGAAATAAAACGCTTCTACTTAACAGCATGTTTGTATATTTCAATTATTTCTGAATTTATCTAAGGATAATAAAATCATACTTATTCAGCTTAAGAGAACCCACATGAAAATCAAAACAAAATATACCACCAAACATTCTGTTAGTCTTGCAAGATGCAGGATGAATGATGAAAAGATTTTCTATAAAATTCCTATAAAATGATTTAGTTGAATAAATTTTGTAACTTAGATTACATTTCTTAGTAATATACATTCGAAATTCATAACGAGGTGAAGAATTTAAAACGAAAACCAGTACCTTTGTTTTTCTTAAAAAATTATGTAGGTTTTTTAACTCTTTTGACAA